CAAATGCTGGGGTGGAGATTCCAACAAATTAGCCCCCTCCCCTTTTATTAAAATCTCTCCCCCTTTCACCAATATAGAGAGACAAAATGCAAGGAGATACAAGTGAAAAAATAACAGTTCACTGAAAAGAAATATAACAACTGTAACAAAACGGTTTAAGCCAATAATAGAAATCTTTCCTAGTCTCTTCCCCCTTGGTGCACAGACAAGATGGTGGCTGACACGTGCTCTTCCCCCCCCCCTTATTCCTGGGAGAACAAAGAAAGTACTGGGATGCTGGCATGGATCCTGACTCCACAGTAGTATGGGTGCAGGCTCTCTCCTTTTCTCTGGCTCTGTCTCCGGAGGTGGGTGTCAACAGTAACAGCCAGCAGGGACTGCAGAAATGGCAAATGGTGGGGCAAAAGCCCTGGAGCAGCAGATGGCTCCGGGCCGGGTTTTTCAAAACGGCACCGCAGACACAGAGTTAGTTTTACTTTCATTCTTTCATTTTCTCTCCGGCTGCCACGGGAGCAGCCCTGGGCATCTCCCCTTTTGAGAAGTCCCCGGCAGGGGTGCAGGGGAGGGTGCCGGTGTAGCAGTGGCTCCCGGGTGTGGCTCCAACAGTTCGTATGTCTGTCTCTCTCCGCCTCACCAGCCAGCCGCATGGTCCAAGATGGAGAGGGACTTCTGGTTCCTTCCTGGCAGCGTCTTCGTCTTCCCCCTCCTTCCCCCCCCCCCCCCACTCCCCAGCTGCGGCTGCAGTGAGGGGTTTGCTCTTAAAGAAACAGTATTCCAAAACAGTGTTGGAAAAGGGGATAGAAAACAAAACTTACTTTAACCATGACAAGTTCACAAAAATGTATGTGCCAAGTGAAACTGAATATGCATGCACTATGGCCCAACACAAATCTGACCCAGGCATGCATGGGGCACAGAAATTACAATAGTTCTTGTATTTCTTTTGCTTGTCTCCTCTCTTGTGTCTTAGAAATGATGTAGAAAATCCTTTGCTAATGGTCTTTTGATAAGCAAATTCAAGCTAGGATTTTTCCTCCCTTTGGTGCATACAGCTAGCCATTGGGGAGGGAGGTAAAAATGTTGCTCTGCCAGAATTTCTGCCTCACTGGGTCATTTAGGAGAGTGGGTCAGATAGCAGGGATTCTGCAGTTGCAGCGTTGCCATCAATCTCATTTAATGCCACAGTGGTGAGAGCAGGCAACTGGGAGGCAGAGTCAGAAACATCCCGTCTGCTGTTTGGGGGTGTAGGGGGGAGGTAGGCTCATTTGCCGATCAATGGGATCTCATGAGGCCATTTGTTGTGGCAAGACAGAAAAGCAGGAGTCTTTGCAAAAATATTAGTAACGTGTGGAGTGAGACACGGGGTCTGACATTCAGAGTCTAGGTTATATTTGCCTCCCCTTCACCCAGGTTCTCTTTTACAGTCCCCCCCAAAAGGCAATGTTAAACCTTGCTCAGGCCAGCAGTGCTTTAGCACCCATCCTCTCTCCATCGAGACTGCCTGTGGTCCGGCAGTGAGCAACACTGGGATGGCAATGTTATAACTACAGTCCTGAATGGGCACACCAGCGCATGACACCTTGTGTTAGCAAACTGCTTCCATGCACTGTCCTGACAAAGGTAAGAAAAATGTAAAATACATCAGCATTAAAATACTAAATCCTGTTTCATTGACATCACAGTTGCATATTAAGAGCTGTCATCATCTTTATCTGTACATTGCTGTTATTTTCAGCATGAGTCAAGCTCTTCCATGAGTCTCTTTAAACTCTCCCTGAGACTGGAACTGCCACTCTTTAGACAGATGCTTCAACTCAGCAGTACACACATCTGATTTCCAGTGCAATGATCTGTGGTTTGGGATGACATTTCTCCTCCCCCAGACCTGTTTCCCCTTCTGCAGCACTCAAAGCAGCTGCAGCCAGAAACCTGGGACTCAAAAGGCCCCTTTCATCTTGTCTTTCAAACCCCTTTCTCAGGGGTTTCATCAGGGATATAAACTTTCTCTGGCCAGTCCTGTTTCCCTCTGCCGTTCAAGGCATGGCTGTGTTTTGCCACCAGACCCCTTGAGAAGTGGAAGGAAAAGGCAGCTGCCAAACCCTCAGCCCTGCATACAATCCCTGGAAGGAAGAGGACACTAAGGAACATGAAACAGTGGCAACAGCAGCCTACCATACCCTCTGCCATTCCTCTACTGAGTAACACTGCTGGATAGCAGCCCTACCTAAGAAAGGAGGCAGGGGATCCCTCAAGGATGTGTATTGGGTTTGTGTGGCCAGGTTTTGGTGGTGGTGGGGACTACAGGGGTGGCTTCTGTGAGAAGCTGCTAGAAGCTTCCCCCATGTCTGACAGAGCCAATGTCAGCCAGCTCCAAGATGGATGTGCTACTGGCCAAGGCAACAGTGCCTCTGTGATAACATTTAAGAAGTTATTCCACAGAAGTAATTGCAGCCAGAGAAGAGAGGAGTGAGAATATGTGAGAGGAACAACTCTGCAGACACCAAGGTCAGTGGAGAAGGAGGGAGAGGAGGTGGTCCAGGCACCGGAGCTGAGGTTCCCCTGTAGCTCGTGGTGAAGACCATGGTGAAGCAGGCTGTCCCCTTGCAGCCCATTGGGGTCCACAGGATTTCCTGGTAGGACGTGTGACCCCATGGGAGAGTCACGTTGGAGCAGGCTGTTCCTGCAATACTGCCCGTGGAAAGAGAGACCCACATTGGAGAAGTTCATGGAGAACTGTCTCCCGTGGGAGGGACCCCAAGCTGGAGCAGGGGAAGGACTCCTCTTCCTGAACAGCAGCAGAAACAACATGTGATGAACTGACCATAACCCCCATTCCCCAACTCCCTGTGCCACTGAGGGGGAGGAGGTAGAACCCGGGAAGGAGGGAGAGGTGGGAGAAAGGTGTTTTTGAGATTTGTTTTACTTCTCATTATCCTACTCTGATTTTCATTGGTAATAAATTCAATTAATATCCCCAAGTCAAGTCCGTTTTGCCCGTTACTGTAATCAGTAAGTGATCTCTCCCTGTCCTTAACTCATGAGCCTTTCATCATGTTTTCTCTCCCCTGTCCAGTTGTGGAGGGGAGTAATAGAGCAGCTTTGGTGGGTACCTGGCAGCCAACCAGTTAACCCACCATGGGATGGGAAAAAGGTTTAATCATTTGTGATAGTTTGGGACTAATCCCTTCTGACAGGTACGGTCCCTGTGTGCCCCTATGTGGCTGCGAGCTATGCTGGCGATGGTACATGCCTTCGGTAGGGTCACCCATGCCAGACAGGTCAAAACCGTAGGGTCAAATACACTACATTCTTGGGCAGGATGAGCTCGTTAGCCTTCTGGCAGTCATCCTAGGAGGACAACTCTAATCCCAAACCCGGGCAGATGGAGCTCGCTTAGCCCCATAAGGCCATCCATCTAAGAGAAGGTCACTCTAATCAAACCTACGTCCTGAGGACCTCGCTGCCACCGTCCAAGCTTGTTCGGCCCTGGTAGATGAACCTTAGGATTAAAGGGTGGGTTCAGTTCTGCGCACACTGCATCTCACCTAAAAAATCCATTGTGCAGGCTTGAAGGCTTTACCCACATGCAAAAAGTCCTGTAGCGACGGGCGAGGGTCGAAACGGCAGGTGAAAGGTGCACTGGGAACCGCAGACTCAACCCTGCATGCAGGCGGTTCAGGATATTGGTCATTTGAGACTGACGGAGATGAGAGTCTCTTGGGGCAGCACCCTGAACGACCAAGCAACCTTTTCAAGGACAGCACTGCTTGCTCCACTCGGAGAGGGGCCTAGAAAAGGTGGCCTAAACAAAGCTCATCCCCACCTTCACCCGGTTGGCTAACAGCAGACCAACGGGCATCTTCTTCCAATGCGGTCGCACAAAGAGCAAAAGTCAAAGGCATGCACCTGCCTCCAAAGGTGTACCTAAATTAACTCTAGCATGCTGGAACATCAGAACCATGCTCGATTCTGCAAATAGCGGACGTCCTGAGCGACGTTCTGCCCTAATTGCCCATGAACTGGCTCGTCTCAACATCGACATTGCTGCTCTCAGTGAAGTTCGCCTTCACGAGGAAGGCAGCCTCAGAGAACATGGTGCCGGTTACACACTCTTTTGGTCAGGTAAGTCCAGAACTGAAAAACATCTCTCAGGTGTCGACTTCATGATCAAAAACTCTATTGTCCCTAAACTCAAAAATCTGCTGACAGGTCACTCTGACCGCATTATCTCCCTACGCCTTCCACTAAACAACAAGCATCACGTTGTCCTCTTTAGTCTATATGCCCCAACTCTCCAAGCTGACCCTGCTGAAAAAGATAAATTTTACAGTGACCTGCGCTGCCTTACCCAAAAGGTGCCCGCAGATGATAAGATCATTATCCTTGGTGATTTCAACGCCAGAGTAGGTAAAAATTTTGAAGCTTGGAAAGGAATATTAGGCAAGCATGGTGTTGGAAACTGCAACGATAATGGTCGACTTCTGCGGAGCAACAGTTTACCATCACTAATACTCTCTTTCAGCAGAAAGATAGTCTGAAGACAACCTGGATGCACCCCAGGTCTAAGCATTGGCACCTCATTGATTATGTCTTGGTGCGACGGAGAGATGTCCGGGATGTCCTCCATACCCGCGTGATGCCCAGTGCAGAATGCCAAACAGACCATCGGTTTGTGCGCTGCAAACTCAATTTCAATCTCAAATTCAAACCCAAAAGGGGCAGTATCCCAAGGAGAAGACTCCAAGTTAACGATCTCCAATCAGCCACAGTAAGAGAAAGATTCCAGGCAAACCTTCAAACTAGGCTCAAAAACCATTCCACAGATACTATAGATTCCTCTCCTGAAAGAATCTGGCATCATATTAAAAGCAGCATCCTGCAATGCTCTCAAGAATCCTTAGGGTTCTCCCTCAAGAAGAACAAGGACTGGTTTGATGAAAACAATCAAGAAATCCAGGAATTGTTGAGGAAGAAGAGAACTGCCCACCAAGCACACCTTGCACTGCCATCCTGTCCCGCAAGAAAAATAGCCTTTCGTCTTGCATGCAGCAAGCTCCAACAGAAACTCCGTGACATCCAGAACAAGTGGTGGACCGATCTAGCTGCAAAAACTCAACTATGTGCAGATACAGGGGATCACAAAGGATTCTATGAGGCCCTGAAAACAGCATACGGGCCTACATACCAAGTCCAAAGCCCACTACTCAGTGCAGATGGTCAAACGCTTCTAACAGATAAAACCTCCATTCTGAATCGATGGTCTGAACACTTTCAGACTCTTTTCAGTACCAACCGTGTAGTCCAAGACTCAGCAATTCAGTCCATCACACAACAACTGGTGAAATACGAATTGGATACTGCCCCCACTTTAGGAGAAACCCTCAAGGTCATACAGCAGGTGAAAATTGGCAAGGCAGCTGGGGTTGATGGAATTCCACCTGAAGTCTGGAAACATGGGGGCCTTGCACTCCATGCTAAATTTCATGAGCTTGTGGTGCGCTGTTGGGAACTAGGCGAACTACCTTCAGACCTTCGTGATGCAGTCATCATCACCTTGTATAAGAAGAAAGGTACTAAATCAGACTGCTCAAATAACCGTGGTATTACTCTGCTCTCCATTGCTGGCAAAATCTTGGCAAGAATACTCCTGAACAGACTAATACCCTCTATAGCAGAAGAAATTCTACCTGAAAGTCAGTGTGGCTTCAGAGCCAACAGGAGCACCACAGACATGATATTTGTTCTCAGACAACTGCAAGAGAAGTGTAGGGAACAGAACAAAGGTCTCTATGTAACCTTTGTCGACCTCACCAAGGCTTTCGATACTGTGAGCAGAAAAGGTCTTTGGCAGATTTTGGAACGTTTAGGTTGTCCCCCCAAGTTCCTTAAAATGATCATCTCACTCCATGAGGATCAGCATGGCCAAGTCAGATATGGCAACGCACTTTCTGAGCCCTTTCTAATAAAGAATGGTGTGAAACAAGGCTGCGTTCTCGCTCCTACCTTATTCACAGTCTTTTTCAGCATGATGCTCCAAAGGACCACGGCAGACCTCGATGATCAGGATGGTTTCTACATTCGATATCGTACTGATGGTAGCCTATTCAACCTAAGGCGACTGAAGGCCCACACTAAGACCCTAAACCATCTTGTCCGGGAGCTGCTTTACGCTGATGATGCTGCCCTTGTTGCACACACAGAAGCAGCCCTGCAGCGTTTGACATCCTGCTTTGCAGACGCTGCTGAGTTCTTTCGGCTGGAAGTCAGCTTAAAGAAGACTGAAGTACTCCATCAACCTGCACCTCAGGAAGACCCCCATCATCCCCACATCACCATCGACCAGTCAGAACTCAAATCAGTCCAACAGTTTAATTACTTAGGCAGTCTCATCTCCTCAGATGGTAAGATTGACAGGGAGATAGACAATAGGTTAGCGAAGGCATATAGCGCCTTTGGAAAACTCCATAAAAGAGTATGGCGTAATAAACACTTGAAGAAAAGTACCAAGATCAGTGTTTACAGAGCCATAGTGCTGTCTACTCTTTTATATGGTTCCGAATCATGGGTCATCTACCGCCACCACCTGCGTCTCCTAGAACGCTTCCATCAACGCTGCCTCCGTACAATCCTGAACGTCCACTGGTCAGGTTATGTGACCAATACATCTGTTCTTGAACAGGCAGCAATCACAAGTATTGAGGCCATGTTACTGAGAACGCAACTGCGATGGGCAGGGCACGTCTCCAGGATGAAGGACCACCGCTTCCCTAAGATCCTGTTTTATGGTGAACTTGCCACCGGCTGCCGCAAGAGAGGAGCTCCAAAGAAAAGATACAAGGACTCCCTGAAGCAACAACTCTGCCTTGGGCATATTGATCACCATAACTGGTCTACCCTGGCCTCTAATCGGGAGGCTTGGAGACACACCATTTATAATGCTGCTGATGCTTTTGAGAAAGCACGCAGGATCACCCTTGAGGAGAAAAGTCAATGCAGAAAGAATCGAGCCTTGCAGAATATACCATCTAAGGTGTCTTTCTGCTGTGTCTTTTGCAACCGGACGTGCCTTTCTTGTATTGGCCTTTTTAGCCACCAACGCGCTTGCAAGAAACATGGGTAGAGCCCTTCCCAAATCTTTGTTCGCGAAGTCTAGCCATGAGGTGAGTTTGGGACTAATCCCTTAGCCCAGTTCTGATTTCTCTGCAAAAGCAAGGTCCAAGCTGGAGGAGGAAGATGGCAGCATCCTGTCCTCTGTACTGGGGTACCTTATGAGGCACAGATCACAGCACCCAGTGGGCCCTGTCCTTCAGAGCACATGACAAATGACATAAAACCAGAGATGAAGCCATAAGCTTTCTCTGAGCCGTCCGTAAAGAGAAAGAGGAGAGTACGGCTCCTCCCCTGGGGTGGGCCAGCCACCTGAATCCAGGTGAGAGGAGTGTGGATATCAAAATGACAGGCTAGGTTCTTTGAAACTGTACTTGTGAGTTCTCCAGCTGCCCTAAATAAACCCTGCCTGCCTCCCTCTGCACCGTCTGGTGAGATTTCAGAACAGAGTGGGAGTCTTTGAGTTGCACCAGGTGTAATGACTGGGCTGTAATGCTGAGCTGTCCCCAGGGGCCACCATGCCCTGGTGATCTGGCAGCAGCCCCCCATGCCACCCAAACAGCTTTTAGAGGTACTTCTGCAGCAGGAGAGAAAAGCGTTGGGGCATGCCGCACACAAGGGCTCACAGAGAGATCCCCAACCCTGCTCCAAAAGGAGATGTATTAAATTAGGGACCAGTATCCCTCTAAAATAGAATTCCTACCAACCTAATTAATGAAAGTTTAATCATCAGATTGGTTAATCATAAACTTATTAAATAACTAATTGAATTCTAATACTATTGGCCAAATGTCCAATGCCAGTCTTGCTAAGGGAGAGATCAAGTCAGTAATCCTGTTAAGGGAGCAGGTTTGCTGTGTGAGATGACTCTCTGGCTGAGCTGCTGCTGATTCAAGTACCCAGGATGGGGGCTGATAAACTGAATAGCAGGAAGAGGCACCTTGGGCTGTACATATTCTGGGGGAAAAGCTTTTACTTTTTTCTTATGGATGTATAATTTATCTCAATCAAATTTAGCCTGGGAGTTGGTACAAGAATTTATTCTTCCAAGAAGATCCCTAAAGAGGCTAAAGTTATCTCTCCTGAAGTCCATGGTTGCAATCTTACTTGCTGCCCTGCTTCCTCCTCACCCAATACTGAACTCCACGACCTCATGGTCACTGCAGCCAAGGCTGCCCCCAACCTTCACATCTCCAACAAGGCCTTCCCTGTTTGTTAGTATGAGGTCAAGCAGCGAACCATTCCTTGTGGGATCCTCCACTAACTGTGACATGAAGTTGTCATCATTGCTTTCCAGGAACCTTCTGTACTGTTTGTGCTTTGCTGTGTTGCTTCTCCAGCAGATGTCAGTGTCCCCCAGAAGAACCAGGGCCTGTGACTTTAAAGCTACTTCTAGTTGCCTGCAGAAGGCCTCATCCACTTCCTCCTCATCATCAGGTGGCCTGTAGCAAACACCCACAACAATGTCACCCTTACTAGTTTGCCCTTTTATCCTAACCCATAAGCTCTCAACTTGCTTGTCATTCACCTCAAGACAGAGCTTGATACATGCCAAGTGTTCATTCCATTTTGCTGCTAAATCAAGGCCAGAAACATGTCTGGGAGTGTCAGCTGCAGCCCAGTCTTGGGAACAGGAAAAGTCCAAGGGTACTTTCCAAGCAGGATGCTGGAGTCGGCAAGCTGTTGAGTCTCTTCCATGCTTGCATACTGCCTGTGACATTAACGCTTCTGTCCTTAATTGTTTTGGCTACTAGACCGGAACTTAACAAGTCATTCTAAGCAGTGGTATCTGCCAGCGAGTGAAAGCTTTCCCAATTACAACATTTAAAAAATAAATTAAATCTCTAGTTTATATAGACTATAAAACATGTTCTCTACCATAGACCAATCATTTAGTGTGTATTTTAGACTCATGTAAGCATGGACATTTGACTAAGCATGTATAGAGTTCAAGCCTACTTATGTCCGGCTCTATTCAAGTGGGCGTTTATACAAATATGCACTATATGATGATCTCCTGTGTAACTGAAGGCTGTGAATATTCAGCTAAGCAAGTTTGAACTGTTACTCTCCTTGATGCCTTAAGAATCTTAAGGCATCATCCTAAATGCATGACAGACTGCATGCCTCAGTGACCTTAATGGTTCTTCACAGAACATCAGGACCCATAACAAAACTGATGTGGGCACTAATATTAACTCTGTTTATCTGGTATATTATGCCTTTAGCATAAGTGATGCTTTAAATGAAGAGAACTATTTAAATTAGTAGAGTTAAATGGCACTTCATAGACTTCTTTCTTTTTCTTTGTTTTGTCTGATACACCATACAGCAGGGTCAAGAAAATGGTTTTGTCTTAAACCTGTGTTCATTTGAATAGAAATTATGAGGGAGCATTTTCAGAAGTTCTTTCCAGGTGAAATAATTTTCTCTGTCCCTTTAAAATACGTTAGAAGAAAGAATATCTTAGCTTTATGGATTGTATTTTGTAAAGTTCCATTTATAAACCAAAACTTTTTAGCTGGGCTTGTTAGGTTGCAAACATGTCCCCAGCTATCTAACTCTGTTCTTTTGTCTGGCAGAAAAAATATTCTTTGAAAAGTACATGAAAATACCAAATAAATTCCTTTCTGAAGGTAAATGTGAAAGAATAAAAATACCCCACATTTAAATAAAATTGATGCTGTTCATATATTCCAGTTTTGACAGTGATGAATGTAATCTTTATATTTGGTATTTTGCAGCCATTAGAAATAAAATACTCAGTCCTTAAAAATTAAGTGATACAGCACTGAATCAGAATCAGAACATGATGCCCTTGTGAGATGGGAACTGTGACAATAGATGCCTTTGAAATCAGTGCAGAAAGACGACCAAAGATGAAAAGAGATAAATTGCATCCTGC